GCAATGTTGAAAATCCCACACACAACAATTTAAAAAAAAATCGATAGTGATTCATTTCACAGCTGCAATATGTAGCTCAACAGCGTTTCAATCTGGTTAGGCGCTGCCCTGGAAGAACACAATTAGCAGCTATGGGTAAAAGACGGACAGCACCCCGGACTGGTCGCCAGCCAATCGCAGGGGCGAATAAGACAGTCAACTATTCGCACCATCACTGAGTGGAGACGGAACGTACTCGCAAACGGCACCAGTAATGTAGATGGCTAATCTGGAGTCATAGGGCAACGAAAGTCACTTTACCGCACATCAAAATCATTCTGAAAGTGTCGCTTGACCTCATCCTGTTGCTATAATGAACTACGTTAGCTGCAAGTGTCCAAGAAACATTTCACTTTTCTTTTCAGGGTCATTTCGCAAAAAAATAAATAAAATAAAATAAAAAAACATGCGCAGTCAATCTGAGTTTTCCTCGGCCTGGCAGCCTGTTAAAAGTGTTTTAGGACATGACTCACATGATTTGGTTTGCTTCTTGGCCAACAACTGCCAACTCTGAATATACTAAACTAAATGTTGTCAGCTGAGGATGTCAGGTTCAGGGCAACTGGAAAATGACAGCAGTTTTTCCAAATATGTAACGCAAACAATGCCAGCTTTAATATAATATTCCCGATTGTGCTGGAGTGCGGCGTTTCCCAAACCGGGGCTCTGCGTACCCCTTGGAGAGCGTGAGCACGTTGCAGAGGTTTATCGGCATGAAATCATTTCTTTCTGAGATCACTAACCTGCGGCGCGGTGCTGAAATCACAACAGCCAGCTTGTCAGTTTGTGTCTCATTCAAGCTCCGATGACTGATGAAAAAGAAAGTCAAGCTGCTCCAGCGGCCCTGAATATTCTTCTCATTCAGTCTGCGGAAGAATTAAATATCAAATTAAGTAAACATCTTTTTCATTTTGTGATCACTTCTATTCTACTTTTTGGAGATTCGTCACCATTTATGTGTGGCGGTGTGACCAAAGTGTTTCGGTACGCAAAACCCGAAAGGCCTCGGGATCCCCGCTCCATTCTGCGGACACGAAATTCACTTTGGGCCTCCTCTGTTGTTGATGATAAATGTCACCATAAACATTCCAATCTGGATCAACTTAGAGGACAAAGCAAACATTTGACAGATCCACGATGCAGTAGATAACCATTTCTTAATTCGAAAGAGGCTTTGGTTCAAATCTTGGGTAGTTTGTGTCCAGTTGAGTCCTGCCACATGTTTCCTAACACTCGCATGCAACTCGCTTCTCAGGTCACTTTATGTACGTGGACTCCATCTACGCCAAATACAGATCCACGATGCAGTAGATAACCATTCCCTAATTCGAAAAAGGCTTTGGTTCAAATCTTGGGTAGTTTATGCGTCCAGTTGAGTCCTGCCACACGTTTCCTAACACTCGCATGCAACTTCTTAGGTCACTTTATGTACGTGGACTCCATCTACGCCAAAACCTTCAAAGAAGTGGCCAAACTGCTGTCTCCCATGACCACGGTGCCCACGTCTGGCTGCCTGACGTTTCACTATCAGCGCAGCGACCGAGGTGGGAACCTCTTCTCCGTTTACACCCGCGATCGACTGGGTCAGTACCAGGAGCTGTGGAGGGCGGAGCCAGAGACCTCCACTGACTGGGGTGGGACGTACGGAGAGTGGACACCCGTGCAGGTGGACCTGAAAGCGCCGTACTCTTTGCAGGTCAGAAGGATTTTTTTTTTCTTTTTTTTGACCAATCTCATTGGGCTTTGTGATTGATTGGCGACCAGTTCAGGGTTTGCCTTTCATCCACATTATTTCGTACCTTATTTGCCATGTTTGTGTGTGTGCGTGTGTGTGTGAATGTGCGTGCATGTGCGTGAGTGGCACCCTTCAGGTCATTTTCGAGGTGGCCTTCAACAGCCCAAGAAGTGGTCACGTTGCAGTTGATGACATTTCATTTTCGCCCGAGTTCTGCAGCTCCGACACAGGTCAGCCGCGAAATAGCAACGCTGCATTTGAATGACTCACGACAGTGCGATTTGGATGAAATGATCTCTCTGAACGTTTCTTGCATAACTAGTAACCAATCCTTAAATTCATGTGACTTTGACATCTTAATATTTGATCATTTTAACCATACAGCTTCATGGACCGCTACAAGTCAGGCTCCATTGTCATGGGACAGTTACATAAACATCCCGTCTCGCTGATTCCCTGTCAAATTGCCATCCTCTCTTTTTTTTTTTTTTCCTACACAGAGCCAACTTTTGATGCCTCCATTGCCAACTGTGACTTTGAGTCCGATTTGTGCCAATACACGCAGGACCAGGGCATCGGATCATCGTGGAGGAGAGTGTCTGTCAAACCCAATATTTTTCGGAACGGCGACCACACATCCGGAGCGGGTAGGCTGAGTAAACGCCGACATTTGTGACTCGTCGCACCTTTCCATTGTGTCACCATTCAACATATGATTTGCTACAAGTTACAACACGATTGTTACCTTTTTTTTGAAAATCAGGTGATTGCATTTTTAAATGAAAATGAAAAAAAAAGGGTTCCCATAAAACAACAAATATTGGCTGTTTGTTTTCTTTCAGGGACTTTCTTGTTGGCTCACTCGCAGCTGAGCACGCAGTCCAGTTACATGAGTCGCTTAGTCAGCCCAACACTGGCTGCAAATATGAAATACTGCCTCCGATTTTTCTTCTCTTTGAGGGGTGAGCCACATTTGGTCGACTTTTTGGCATCTCGAATCACGCATATATTCAAGTGACTCACCGCTCATGAACAACTGCAGGATTCAACCAGACGGAGCAGGCCCTCGCCGTGTATCTGCAGCAGGGCGGCGGCCAGGAGAAGATCTGGACTTCGGGAGAGAAATCCAGAGGAATCTGGATCGCGGCGGATGTCACCTTCCAGACGTCGCAGCCTGCCAAGGTCAGGAGAGAAAGAGCAAATGTTGTTTGCAATGTGGTCGGCTGGTTGGCACGTCCGCCTCACAGCGCAGGGATCATGACTTGAGACATCGTGACTTCTTAGTAGGCATCTGCCGTGGCAGAAAGACATTCCATCACTCTTTGTTTGGAATTGGAACCATTTGTTCATCCAGATGTCTAACTATCAAAGGCTCCCATCGCATTGAACACATGCATATTGATGATTTATTTAAAGGGCTTTGATAAATGTTCTACGTGACTCCTCCCTCAAAGTCTTGTAAAATGGAAAGAACAAGCGAGGAGGCTCAAAATGTGCCTTTGCTGTTCAGGTTGTTTTTGTCAGCACATGCAGAAGTCTGTTGGACTGCGGCTCTGTTGCTCTTGATGACATCACCATGAGTCTGGGAGACTGTGAGTTGGCGACAGGTAAAATTTATTCCGGGGGACTTTTTTTTTTTTTGAAACCAGCCAAAGAGGTGGGAGGATGTACTCTTGAGTAACTCAGACTTTTGATTGGATGCGGGCAGCAACGCAAAAAACAAAACAAAAAAAAAAAAAAAACAAACAGCCAGGCAAGTTGATCTGAATTGTGACGTTTTCTTGCTGCAGGAATTTCCTCCCCCCTTCCGGGATGCTGTGACTTTGCTGCGGGCCTTTGTGGTTACACTCAGGACAAGCAGAATGACGCTGCTGACTGGGAGTGGAGGAGAGGACCCACCCCAACCTCGTACACTGGACCCAGAGGAGATCACACGAGCGGACTCGGTGAGAGTATAAGACCACAACTAAATCCCCGCCACCCCCAGAAATTGTGAACGTTTCGAGTGCATGACTGACAGTCTCTCGCAGGTTACTATCTGTACATGGAAGCATCTCCCATGCTGCCCGGCCAGACCGCTCGCCTGCTGTCACGCCCGCTCAGGGGCTCGAGGGGACCTCAGTGTCTGCGATTCTACTACCACATGTACGGCTCGAGCACGGGCCGGCTCAGTGTTCACCTCCAAAAAGACGGAGGAGACATTTTCTTGTGGCAACGAAACGGCGAGCAGAGCATTGCCTGGCTGAGGGCCACGGTGGAGTACCAAAGCGACAGCCAACATCAGGTAAGGCGGGAAAACGCAGCTCTCTTTGTTGTCGCAACGTGTTCAAAACATTTGACAGACGACCCCGTAAAGTCCGCAATTCAAACGGAATGAATCTGCATTCCAAATTGTTCCACCGAGGTTGGGATTGAGGCGCCGGGAGCTTTCTTGTTTGTTGAGGATGTTTCAACTGGCATTGAAAAGCGTCTCGACTGAACCCCCGCGGCCCGGATGACCGAGGCTACTACGCGGACACACCGGTGACTCGCCTTTTTCTGTGCTGTCGCAGATTGTGTTTGAAGCAACCCGAGGTTCATCCATCAGGAGTGACATCGCCATTGATGACATCGTATTGGAGGGTGGCCCTTGCCCAGGTAACGTTTGGGAACTGAGGACGCAATGGCCAGTGCGTTCTGCAAGGAAAATATATGGCTATTTTTTTTACACAAACGTTTTTGGGCTGAACGGTGTCTTTGCTAAATATGTCGTCGGAATTCTATTGGTCTCCAAATGAATACAGGAAGTAACATCTGGTGCAGCGTCCTAACGGTTTCTGTCTCCTTTGCTGCAACAGAGACCAAGGCCCCCGTGGCGACGTCCAATGAGATCGAGTAGAGGTCAGCAACAGTATAAGGCAGGATGCATGTTTTTGGTTTTGTTTTTTTTGGGCACACTTTAGCGGACTCTAAAGGCTTTTCGACCGCCTACTCACATTTATGTAGGTCTCCTTTTATACAGCATCATTGTACTTTACACTCTGTAAGAACAGAGTGCTGTATTTTTCTTGACATTTATATGCATTAGATTAATGCTCGTTGCTCGAATAAAGATAAGGGGTGTGCGATTTGGAGGTTTCTCTCCCTTCATTTTTTATGACCAAAGTGTTTTACTCCGCGCCAAAAACAACAGCGAGTCAATAGGACCGCACGACATTAAGTTGTGAGAAATAACACAAAGTCTGAGTACGGATAAAAATGACTACAACCTGATTTATTCAAAACACACCCACACACGCTGTACACTTCCATTGAAAAATGATCGGCATCTATACAATTTCAACTGGTCCCAGAGATGGACGTTACATGATACACGTTCCATCGTTCAGATGTTTCATGGACTCCATCTGTTGGGTCATCGCTAAAACATCCTGAAATCCCGTGCTGAGCCCAGACATGTGCTGGAAGTACGCGTCCTTCTCCAGCTGCACTGACAGATTATTCACTCCCGCATCTTTCAAAATGGCCGTCACCTGCAAGACAATCGCACCGATCATTACTGACCTTAGAATGACTCTCCAATAAACACACAAAAAGTCTAGGTGTCGAGTCTGCTGGGAAACGTGACAAATCAATCAAGAAGTGGCACCAGGCGCTGACCTGCTGTACAATGCGCTGTTCCACCACATCGGACATGATTTGGAGATGAATGGTCCCTGCGATCACGTTGGCCGAATGTCTCCAGAAATGAGGGTCCCTGTAGGACAAAACTCCTTCAATCTTCTCAATCTGGGAAAAGAAGCAAAAGAAGTCGACGGGATCAGCCGGCAGTAGCGCACAACTTCATCCTGTCGGTGACATCACAGCAGACAATAGTCGACATTGTCGACAGCTGTCCCCGTTTATGGCCGCAACACGGTCAACACATTCTTCCTTCAAAAGGCTGTGACATGGAAGTGAACCCCGGCTACATCATGTTAATAGTTTGCACTACCGTTATATAGCAGATTTTTTTTTTCTCTAAAGAGTCCCCTACACCCCCCCCGCCCCCACTTTTTTTTTTCTATGTTAGTGACAAAGAGCTTCAAGCATGCAAGCGTTACCACTTAATTGAAGAATTGGGCGAGCGAGAAAGTGACAACAGAAGCTAAAAAACACTTCCAAAAGTTTTCTTTAATTCGTTGAAGCGAGATTTCATAAATTTAAAATGTGCATAAAAGGGATTAGGAAGGAGTTAAACTCTTAAAAAAAATAAAAAAGGTTATATGGGCTCTCTTTTCAACAATGTGGGTGTGAACCCCCGCAAATAAATGAGAGCTGGTCTCCTCACCTTCTGCAGAGCGTTGTTCAGTCCCTTCTCATGCTCTGGGGGAATTCTCAGCAGAAGCACTTCGCAAGCATCCTTGAGCAGAGGTATGACGCTGAGGAAGATGAGCGTGGCGATGAAGAGGGAGCAAATGGGGTCGGCGATCAACCAGCCAAACTGCCGAATGAGGAGGGTGGAAATGATCACGCCGACGCTGCCCAACGTATCGGCCAGGACGTGAAGGAAAACACCTGTGGAGAAGACGGGAGGATTCCATCCGGGCCCCCCGGGAAACGTGACGGCGGCGCAGGCAAGCCCACCTCTCATGTTGGCATTCATGCCCCCGCCGCCCGAGCTGTGGGAATGCCCGTGCCCGCCGTGTCCGTGTCCGCCGTGAGAGTGGCCGTGACCTCCGTGGCCGTGGTCGCCGTGCGAATGGCCGTGGTGCGAATGGCCGTGGTCGTGCCCCGAGCAACTTTTGCCGCCGTGGGAGTGAGCGTGGCTGAAAGCGCAGATTCCCACCAGGTTGACCAATAAGCCGCCAACGGACACCGGCTTTCGGAGACACCGAGCAGAGGGGCAAAGTGATTAGTCGAGCCACAGACCGTCATACTGCCACCACCGTGCTTCACTGTTAGCGTCATGTTCTTTTTATCAGATGCTGTAGCATTTTTATTGCAGACGTAAGGGGCCGCGCATCGAGTTCTTTGGGTGGTGTTCGAGGTTCTTGAGCAACCTCCCGGATGAGTCGTCGTCGCACTCTTGGAGTAATTTTAGCTGGTCGATCACTCCTGAAAATGTTTGACACCGTTCCCAGTTATCTCCATTTGTTGGATCATGGCTCTGACCGTGTTCGTTGGCGGCGCCGGGGTCTTGGATATGGCTTTGTCACCTTTTCCAGACCGATAGATTTCAATCACTTCTTCTCTCATTTCTTCTTGAATTTCTGCAGATCGTGCGTGGCACGATGCGTTTGTTTCTTGAGCTCTGGTAACCTACTTCCCTTTGTCTGACAGATTCTATTCATGTGATTTCTTGAGTCAACAAATATGGTGCTAAGATGTCACCTGTGAAATTCCACTCAGCTTTCCATACAAATCTCAAATGGGTTCGTCCTCAAAAAGAAACAGCATAAAGGCTCATTCGTGCGGCAAATGAAGGCGATGTTACGAAAAGGACGTCCTTAAAAGGCCAAGCGATTAGCCTCGAGGAAGGATCCTTAAATAGTGTCTTTGCAACAGCCTACTAAGTGCCCATTTCTTTCAAACACAAACTTTTTGTTTGACATTTGCAGACTCCATGTCGAGGCAGGCCTGATGTTCTTGACATGGTTTATGTTCTCAGAGTGGACAACTCCCCTGCACACTCACACATTTTGCACAACAACATTCCCGGCTGCTCCTCATGGCCGAGAAAAACTGGTCCAGATTTATGAATGGCCATTGTTAAATACCAAAGGGGTAAATAAATATTTGATCAATGCTTCAATATCACAATCGACATTGAGGAACGAGCTTTTACAAGAAAAAGATCAACAACTTCACTTACGGTCAGCATGTCCGTGTCTATGTTGGGAGGGTCCACTAAGCGGGTTACCGACTCCATGAAGACAAAGAAGGCGATGACCATCAGGAAGAGTCCATTGATGAACCCAGAAAGGATTTCGACACGGCCATACCTGCGAAGAACACCAGATACTCATTTCAAACATCCGACAGAATTTGTACGGGATGATGAAGATCCCCCCCCCGGTGGAGCGGCTTCACGTCCCCAATTTTACCCGTAGGAGAAGATCCTGGTGGCTTTCCAGCGGGTCATCAGGGCGGCAAACAGGCCCAGGACCAAAGCCGAGCAGTCAAACAACATGTGGAAGCCATCCGAGATCAGTCCCAGGCTGTTCGTCCAAACACCATAAAAGAGCTCAACAAAGGTGAACGCCTGGAACACATAAACGTGGTTTGACAGCGGAGGCTGTGAACTGCAATTAACAGAGACAAACAGTGACCACCATATGAAAGTAGAGCGCGGCCAGATGGCCTTTAAATCTAATCGTTTTTCTTTTGTTTGAAATAAAAATACAATTTGTCCACAGTACGTGGTTGGATTCTGGATTTAGGTCAGCCTTTTTAAACTCTTTGGCGTTTCAAGGAGTTAAAACAGCTGCAGAAGCCACCATTTCAATCAAGTGGCAAACAAGCGGATGGGAAATGTTAGTGCACACCATTTACCATTTTAATAACTTTGCATTTTTCAACTCTTGTGACCTTTGACTTTTTGTTGTTGTTGTTGGATGAACTGACTGACGGACTGGTGAAATTTACAGCAGACGCCATGATTGTTTTATCATGCATTTGCCATTTTACACTTCATGATAACTCCCGTGTTTTACACAGCAGCGATATGGAAGGGCCCATGAACCAACACCGGCACATTGCACGTACCAGGTTGAGACACAGGAAGTAGAAGATCTGTCTCGAGTCGTACTCCTCCAAGATCTGTTTCAAGGAATCTTTAATGAAGCGCGGCAGGGACTGCGACGTGTGCTGCAAGGCGTCACCCATGAAGTTGTACAAAGGAGTCCCTTCGGGGGAATAACCGACCAGGGTGCCCTTTTGACCCTTCTTTGAAGGGGAGGAGAGGATGCTGGATGCTGCACAGGAAGTGTGAAGAGAGCAACGGTTAAGAAAACAAAACGCGCCGGGTGTGTCAATGACATACAGATGTTCTCCTAAGTTTACATTTCCATACGATCATTTTAAAACACAGTGTGAATGGTTGTTTGGCACTCCCGAAGTCGGCATGCGAGGACGCTCTGAACTTCGGTTACGTGGTGGCTTCACGCAAGCACCGTTCCTCTACAATCTGGACAAAACGCGGCGAACGTCCCCTGCACATTACGAGGCTGAGAGTCTCCAGAAATCTCCAATAAGACCACAAAAAGTCCCGACATTTTTTTTTCTTTATAAGTAGCTCGCTCATGAGGTCGGAAAAGTCGCTAAATATAGCGACAAAGCCGCTTTGTTGGAAACACTGAGTAGGCTCGCTTCTTCTCATGTCCGAACTGCGCCATCGGTTGTCATGGAAGCAAAAGCCGAACTTGGCATTTGCAGAAGATACAGTATCCCTTAAAAACGGTGTGACGTGAAGAAGAGCGACAAACGGACTGTAAGTGCAGCGAAACACCATTTCCTGTATTTTTAGAGGATAATGTCATTATATTAAGAACTGGGAACTCTTAAATCCAGAAAAAAAGCATATCAATCATTTAAAAAGAGTGGCTGCTACTTCTACTGTCTGCATTCCAAAGGAGAAACAAATGCCAACTCGGTGAAAATACATTTTCCCCCTCAATCGGCTTGACTTACATAAGATGAAGAAAACGGCACTGACGAGCACCCCTCCAGACAGCACGTGCTCCGTGCTGCTCCGCTGCGGCGGCTTACTCATGGAGCGCAACTGGTCGGTCAGCGGGTGAGTCCAGAAGTTGGCGAGGAGCAGGGCGCTGGAGAAGAGAGCCGCGGCGCCGTATCGGGCGCAGCGCTGCACCTCCATCTTGGTATTGCAGATGGCCTCCACGTAAAACTCGAGGATCATCACAGAGAAGATGATCATGGCGAAAGGCGGGATAAGAGCAGACCACGACTCAACTTTACTCTGCGGAGGAACAGTGGAAATAACCCGTCAAGGCCTGAGCGCGAGTCTGGAGGAAAATGGTTATAAATGACGGTGGTTTTGAAGGTTCATTTAGTAAATGAACCCGATTTAAACTGCTCTCCATGTGAAAGCGTCTCAGTTCTCCTCTCCTTAAAAAAAGCCCGCACGCAATGTGGAGAGGAATCATCTTGCACTTACTTCCGTGGTGGCAGACAGCACTATGACCCAGGGCAGCAGTACCGCAGCAGACACCAGGTTGTCCAGGGCATAGAGGCGCTTGGCCCCACCAACTTCCACCGAAAGTTTCCTGGAGGCTGTGTGGAAGCCAACCTTCAGGCACAGAGAGGCTACGAGCAGCACAACACCACCCTGATAAGAAGAACAGGACAATGCAATGATTCGTTTTGTTTTGGGTACCAAAATACTTTTTAACGCAGTCATGTGGGAAACGGACTTTGACATGGTCACGCCAAAACCTTGATTGTCATTTTTATGGGCCATCGATGGACTATCTATGATGTTTTTGGTCATTGTCGTGCTCAGCAACCCAAAAGTTTGATGGCACAATGCACAATTTTCTAGCAGACAGCTGAACTTGTTCCATTAAACCACAGCAAGTGGTGGAAAGAGCCGTGTCACATTTTCCAGACTGATTTCAACCTCTTTGTTTCTCATTTGTTCATGAATTTCATTGGATCACGGTATGATGAGTTTGTTTTTGAGCTCTTGCAGTGTACTTCACTTTGTCTGATAGGTACCATTAAAGTCAGTTATTGATTCAAGAAATCTTGCTCATCGGAAACTTAAGTGTGATAAATGTGGAAAAGAAAACAAATATTTTTAAACGACACTATACATGGTACGTGCTTACCTTGTGATCCGCAACCCCCAAAAACGCAATGGCGGTGTACAGGAAGTGAGTTAGCGCACTGTCATGATGTCCCTCGGCTAATTACAACAAGAAGTTAAGGCTCAAGCAGGAAACAGAGAAACATGATTTTTTTTTTTTTTTTTTAAGAAAACGAACATATTGCAATTATTAAGGATACGATGCTCCGCCATTTTGGCCATGAGATCATCATTGTCGAAGAGGAGAAGGCAAATCACTGCGATGATGAAGAGAGCGGCGCCTCGAGTCTGGAAGACAGATGGGTCCAACTTCAGTCACCTTTTCTTTTCAACTTTGCATTTTTTACGTAAACATATTTCCACTTTTTCACTCTACAACTGGTGACCTTAGCAGGAAGGGCAGTGGATGGCGTTTATATGTGAGATAGTCGACACAACAGATTATGGGTGAGTCAGGAGCATTGCAAAAAAAAAATGCAAAAATACAAAAATCAACGCTTTGACGACCACAGATCACGTTGTCTGGAATCGCTAGTTCGATTAAAAAAAACAAAACCAACTGTTCAGGCCTACTGGGTATGACACCAACAGTTCAACAAGTACCGTTGCACAATTTGTAAATGGTGACTGTTTACCTTTGCTGGCCCACCTCCTGAGCTGGTGAAGAGGACACCAAGGAGAGCAATCACCACCACATCGCTGTGCTCAAAAAGTAGCAATGTCCTGCGAAAGACACAAGAAAAGCACTCATGCATTGTTGCATTCAAACATCAAACTGCACTGTCGTATGAGCAGAGTAGCATACGTATTTACCTCAGGGGTCCACAGAGAGTGAGACCAAAAAAGCCCAGTAGGGATATGATACAGCTGAAAACACTGTGCTTTAGTAATTTTATCCACTAGAAAGAATGAAAAGAAAAATGGGTTAATTACCATCCCACAACATAAATACGTAGCACGAAATGCATTCCATAAAATGACGGATTGAAGGATGAAAAAATCAATACGCTACCTGTCTTTTCGAGATGATTTTTCCAGAGGAAAAAGGCTTTTGAAAAACAAGTAAAATAACGGCCGACCTGAGAATAATGGAATAATGTCATGTTCATGTTTTTATTGGCATACTTGAAGACACCTCTACTCAAATGACTTGATTTAAAGTGGAGTACACGCGAACAGAATATTATATGTATATCACACACACACACACACACACACACACACACACACACACACATACACATTTATACAGGATATAATCATGTGTCTCCCCCAAATCAGAGAGGTGTCTGTTGTAGTGCTGCCGCTTGTCAGTTTTATTGCGGCGAATGACTTGGGAGACACGGTACATTAAAACAAACACGTTTGCTCCTCTAGTTCTGTACACACTGCGACAGCAAAAGCTGTTCAACTGAAAATGACAAGAGTCCAATTTGTCTTCACTGAGCTTTGCAGTGATTTACAAAGGAGGCAATGTCTTTCAAAACAAATGAAGCAACATCTGCGAATGGAATTAGGAATACTCACCCTAACTTTAATATGAAGATAAACTGCACAATGTGAACCACCTTTAGGATGTCATATGATTCAAAGATCCCCAAGGCCTTCAAGATCTTCGAGATGACCAGCAACACTATGTACCTGGTTAACCTGAGGATGAAAAGGACAGCGTGCATACTGTACGTAATAAGCATGTTGACCCAGGGGTGTACCCGAGAAGGGTTAAACAGCCAAACGCTCACATGAACAAATCTTTGGTTACCATAAACAACTATTTCACCTGGAATTGGGAACCTCAACCATCCCTAGTTGTCCTCCAGAAAGGACGTTGTTGCTGTATTTCTCGTCCATTTTCAGCCGGCCGGCTTGACGATATCCCGAGTAACCTTATAACATTACTGCTATCTATGACGTGTATTTAACTTGGCGCTCATTTAGCGATGAGACGCAGCCACAGCATTCAAAATTCGAAACAATTCAAAACATCCTCGCTGAGGAGCAAAGCATAGAAAAGGTGATTTCCGCCAAGGTTAGCTTCGAGCTCGATAACCAGGTGGAATAGCGGTAACACTGGTAGTGTTCGCTCTTCGAGTTCTAACGCGTCTTTTAAAGGTGTAAACAGGAGCTATAACCGTTTAAGGGAGATTGACAGCGTTTTTTCCAATAACAAGACTGAAAAAAAAATCCTTCCAGACTGTGTAGAAGTGAGCCGAAGCCACTTCCGGACACGATAAACAACCACGTCATGAAAAACTTTAAGAGAGTCGCGACTGCGCGGTTAGTGCCGTGGACGGTTTGAGGTCGTGAGATGCGCGATTGCGGAGGGATGTCACAAAAATCAAAGAGGTTTAAAATTAATACCGCAATGTCAACATGTGAATGCATTTTTAGGTACATGAAGAAGAGAATCAAATTTACAGCAGCCTGTGTGTGTGTGTCTGGTGCCATGTTTAAATGCGCCAATTTATTCGTAACGGTATTTATATCATTATGGGCCAGTGCGGAGCGAGCACTTATTCAGTGACATTACTTAATATTGCTCATATCTATTATATATTATTTTTTTATACTATGGTAGGTAAGTAGTGGTGACCATAGCTGCCTCACACTTCTCAGATCGGGACTCCCGTTTGGCTGCTGTGTGCAAGAGTGCGTCCTTCCACATTCTAAAAACATGCATGTGCGGTTCACCGAAGACTCGAAATCGGGTATGTCAAATGTACGACACGCTGGTCAGAACCAGTCAGTCAGGGGATACATTCCGGCGGTGGGATTAGAAAACACATTCACTACTACGTATTTTTTTTCAAACTGTTGTTGCTAATTTTGTCCACTCGAGGGCGCACGGACGACCACCTCATGATATTCTGAAATTGGATATGAAATGAAAACAAAAAACAAAAAAAACTACTTTGTGCGCACAAGCAACTTATTTGCGCACACAGCCTACTTATTTGTGCACACTAATTACTATTTCGCGCACACCAATTACTACTTCTTGTCCACGAACTATTCGTGCGCATGAAGCAGTTGCAGGGTGCACACGAAATAGTGACAGCATGCACATGAAGTAGCACTGATCCCTTATTGGACAAGAGCGCTTCTCACTGGCCTAATCAGTACCTTCAAAAATCCACAAATTATTGCATCTGACGTTTTTATTTTATACCGGCCCCCGGCGTCCTAGTCGTACCTCTGCCGGGAAAGCAAGCTGGCTCTCAGCATTTCAACACGTTCAAATGTCTCTTGGTGATAATGATTCTTTGCAGCTTTTCATGATGTCCTTGTAACCCATCCCGAGCCTAAAATAAAATTCGATCACGCTCTCCCTGCCCATTATGTAATTTTACTTCAACCTTTCAACTTTGAAAATAGATGCGTTCGATTTTTCTTATTCAAGTGGGGCCGGTGTTCTTCCAAATGATACTAATGCATTTTAGGAAATAAACGTGACCATCAATTCAAGCATTTCATTTTATTTCAAAGAAAGAAGACTTAAGACATTCAAACAAAAGCATAAAAGAATTTTTGGGGCATTTTGTTAGGAAATTGACATTCTCCCCTTTCACCTTTTGCCTTGCCTTAATAAACATACGGCATGATAAAATTATATAGCGTCCACTTTGCTAGAGCATTAACTAAATAAAGTACAGTGATCATGTCATGTCCACTATTTTAACGATGTGAGACCTCAAATTTCAGTGTGGCGGTTTCTCAGTGGGGTCCACAAAGCCCAAGAAGGATCTTCTCAAAATGATGCTTTGTGTCTTCCTGTGAAAACACAAACACATTTTAAGGCTTTCATTTAACTACAACGTAGTCTTTGAGCATAGGATGCAGCTTTGATTTTACCAGGATGTCCTCCTGCAGCGTTCTGTCATACATGGCCCTGTATTCTTCCAAAATCTTCTTCAGGTCGACCTCAGAGCGACTCACCAGCACCCTGATCAGTGTATCTTCACATGTGCCGTGGCGCTGTGAGGACACATTTATCATCCAATAAGATTATTTCAGCAGAAAAGGCCAAGTTAATGGACCAGACTACCCAGGTACCATTTATTGACAGAATGTTGCATTTCACATATTTGAAGAAAAAAAAAAAGACTGCTGTTGTGTTCATTCATACCTCCATAGCTCCATGGAGCTTCTCAGCAAAGAATGCCGGTGTGCTCCATGCACATTTCACTTGGGAGAAAAGATATAAAAATATGATAGTTTTGGACTGCGTCTATTGATAAATCAAATAAAATGAAAATGACATTTCAATGACATTTCAAAGAATTAAAACGTCTGCTGTCGACTAAAATTGACGTCAAAATGCCCTCGGGCTCGCATTGTGAACGTCACGGCTCACCTATTTTCCAGGTTTAGTCACATAACGTTCACAATGCAAGCACAACGGCAGACATCAATTTCTTAAATATTTCGAAATGAATGCTGCCCTGACGGTGTCGGTCAGGATGTGCTCAGTCAATATCGCCTGAAATCGGTTTAGCACATCAACATATGAACCTTTTTAAAACTTCTTGTGTCATACAGAAGATGATCCGTCTCTCAGTCAAGACTCAAGGAATGTCTTCTCCAAGCCATGTCTTGGATTTTGTGTGTGTCTGTGTCGTTGAATGGAAGTGACAATGAGTGCGTGCTCTCACCAATGTCAAGGAAACAGTCTTCGATGTCTCCTCTCAGCTCCATGTTCAGAGCTTTAGGCAGCGTCATGTCACTGAGACAGGCGTACCTTTGGAACGCTATCGGGCAAAAGAGCGCGCACGGTCAACCGTGAAATATTGTTTTGGCCACACAGTGAGCTAACGTCTGAGTAACTGCTTGTTTGCATTGTTCTTGACTCAAAGACACGTTCCACCTGTTACCCAAGATGGGCGTGGCTCCACCTATTTGTTCACTTAAGAATGAATGTGCAAACTTTCACATGCTTTTCAGTCACATGCTTACTTTTGGAGAGTTGAGGTCCGCTGCGCGTCGTCAGGATGTCTAAGAAGGGCGCGATGTCGACTCCTTTTGTATTCTCTCCGGCTTCGAACAGCGTCTGCGGGTGCACAACACGGGTTGAAGAATAACATTGGAATTGGAGCCTATCCCAGCTGTCTTCAGACAGTCGGCAGGGGACACCCTGAACTCGATGCTAGCCAATCACAGGACACACACAGACAATCACACCGCGGGACAATTTTGGGTGTTCCATTCTTAACCTACTGTGCAATTTTTGAAAATGTGGCATTATCTAATTTTACCTCTGCATCCTTTTGGGCCCGAGTCATGTCAACTTCTGTGCTCTCATCTTTGTTTGCCTTCAACATCGCCAGAAGGGCTGTGGTGAAATCGCCGCGGGTTTCATCCTTAATCACATCCTCCAGGTCGTCCCCGTACACTGAGGGAAAGCAGCGTTGAAATGCTGACTCGACTAGATAATGACAGTCTTAAAAATGACACATGAATGACTGCCGCCGCTTGCGAGACCGGCGCCCAGGCTGCGACTCATCCGCCCCTGTTGTTATGCTAGGATTTTTTTTTTTTTTTTTTTTTTTTTTAAGGGGGCTTTACAAGAGTTGATTTTTCATCTTAAAAGTTAGCAGTTAGGATCTGGTACACTTGGAAGGAGAAACTGTTTAACTTTCAAGTAGGGCTCAACTGAGCCAATATTAGCGCTTTTAAAACCGATGACACGTTAGAGTAACAACATTAACAACATAGGACAAAGACAATGACATTCCCCCCAGAAATTTTTTTTGTACGATAGTATTTTTGTTCTTTTTTTTTTGGTGAGTTTCTCATTTTCGTGCTTTGAATGATTTTCGAGAGCAAAAAGTCAAACCTTCTTTATAGACCCTCTTCAACTGTCTGAGTTCTTCATTTGTCCTGGTTGCCAGAACCTCCACAAGGACATCTTCATCTGTGCCCAGTCTCTGTTACGATAAAGTGAAACGTGATTGATTTCTTCAGTTCAGGGAACCATTTTTTTACTGATAAGAAATATTGGATTTTCACAATAAAACTTTGCTATTTACCTTTGTTGCATTTCTGATCAGGGAGGCATCAAAATGGGCTGGCGGCATCAATAAGGCCAGAGCGATGTCCTCTAAATCTGACCTGAGTGCAGATTTCAGAGCTCGATCCAATCGCTGCGATACGCGGAGAGAAGAAGAGTCGGCTTTACAGCAAGTAAAATCGGCACAAAAATAAGAATTATATTCAAGTCATTGAGGTTTTCGTTTTTTTTTCTTGAGTGGGCGTTCTGGAAAATGGCTGGATGAAACGGGGCACTACCTCGCCAGTGGTAGCCTCATAAACGACTTTGATCTTCTGTCTCTGTTCATTGTTTCTTTTGACCAAGATGGAAATGATCACGTCCTCATCCACTCCTGCAAGAGAGACATTTGACTTTCCTGCAATCTATGCCGCAGAGGTGACGCTACCTTTGATGCCCGATATTACATCTTGTTGACCGAAAAGCGTGGCTCCCAGAGTCATTTTGGAACATTTTAGGAAAGAGAGAACAAATGAAGTCGCCTTCAAGTTCGGCGATCCCTCAATGGGGCCGACAACGTATGTTCAGTTTCTTTAACAGATGGACAATACCTTGAAAGTATGTTTTGCATCCATCGCATCGTGGCATGTCATTCAGTATTTTTCATCAAAATCCGCAGATTCGGGAGATTGCCAATACCTTTACTTTCAATGGCACTGTGGAGAACTGCGACATCTTTGCTTGCATCGAAGCTCGGGTACGGGGCCACTGTTCCGTAAAACACCGGCGTCTCCTTTCCTTTCACCTAAAACAATCGGCACGGAAAGCTTTCATATCCCCTTTTGTAATTCAATAATTGAGTTCATCATGTGTCACGGGAGGGAGCACAGCTGATACTTACTTTAATGGTGTCATTATCGGGGTTTCTGTCATGGACGATATTTTTGTAGAATTTTCTGAAGAAAGACATCTTTTCTGGGCAAGATGATCACAAACGATCTGGGGGGGAAGAAGCATCCAATTGAATGACGTTAGATCATTTCTTTTTGATGTTAAAAGCCCCTGCGAAACTTACCTGTGCTATTACGGACGGTCTTCACCTTGTCCTTTGTGAGTTCGAGGGGTAAGGAAGTTTTGAAGTGACTCCACCCATCAGATGATGATGATGATGATGATGCAGAAAAATAAAAAAAAACTGGCAGACTTTCCTGTCACCTGCACAAGATGAACCAATCGTCTGCCGCCTTTTCAGACACGACACACCCGGCCATTCAGCGGTTTGTGTATCCCTGACCGGTTGGGTGACTTTTGTTCAGGTGTGTACGAAATAAATGCTTCACCCTTAAACCAAACAATATGTCATTCACTGTCACACACACACACGAAAAACACTGGAATGGACTGTATTTAGTTGAAAATATACTGAATTATAAATTATGAAGAATATAGCACAAATACACTTCAGGAAGCAAAACGAATGGAAAAAAGCCTAATTGTGTCCCATGTGAAGCAAAACAATTAGTGAGAATCTGATTGGGTTTTTTTTTTTTTGGAGCGGGGGGGGGGGGTAAAAATGAGAAAGTGAAATTTCAAAACTGTTGCCTTCCTTGATGCAAAATTGACAATGATGTCCTTTTGCAGCCACACGCAATCCACATGCCGGAAACTGCAACTATGCGCAAGTGGACCAAATGTGTACTGGGATGATGTTCCATGTAAGAACCTACTGAGGGCATGAGCAAATTGGATCCAAGCAAACAGTTACAAGAAGATTATTAGAAGTAGAACAATAAACCATTAGACATGACACTGAGCAGACCGAATTGTTCTGAAGGGATATCCCACGAAAGCATCTTTTTTTTTTTAAATTGGATTTAAACTGGATATGTAATAAAGGAGGAGATGCATTTTAGTGGATCATCGGAACAGCCACTGACATTTTTTACAGATTTTAAGTAAAAAGGGCCGAATTATCACCCCCATGGGTCAAATTCCACAGTTCACGTTCGAGCCTCTCCTGTGGTGACGACAACTGGTGATATATGGCAAAGAATGGTGATGTCATTATCTCGGAGGGGGTCCTCTCCCGCGACCTCGCCCAGGTCCTCTTGGTCCAGGCTGTCGAACGACTTGCCCTCGAGTGGCGGGATTGGATGTTGCAAGTGCAACGTCTTTCTGAAGGGGCACGCCTTTCCCAACTGCTCCGGGTTTTGTCTTCATCGGCTTTGGATCCGATGATGTCTTTTTTTCTGTTTGACGAGACGTCATGAAAAGGGACAGACGACGATGCATCCACATTTCATTTCCACAAAGTGAAACACATGACAGGCACAATAATTCAAATAAAGCCAGTTCCTTTTTGCAAAAGCTTTTAGCTCGTGAAGATCTTCATAGGCTAATTAGTTACTGTACCTTACAGGCTCCACTAAAGGTTGTTACCATATTTTACAAAAAAAAAAAAAAAACATGACACCTCCACAAAGTATTTCCTGACAATCCAATGTTACGAACCAGACTCCGGTGCGGGAGCAGGTGGGGCCAGAGAGCGGTTTGGCAGCAGGTCCTCCAAGTCTTTCATAACCTCGTTGGTGCTGTCCGTGTTGTTCCTCCGGTTCTTTTCTTCATCGCGAGCCTACCCGCGGTGTGACAACAAAGCAGTATGTCAGTACCGGGCTTGGACACAGTTGCGGGGTTCAGAGCAAAGGGGGACATTTGTTTGACGTTTGACGGATGAAAACTCAAAATAGACATGACTGTGAAAACAAGGCAAGGGCAGGACAGGATTTTGGCCGGAGGCCGGAGCGCACGCACAAAGACGAAACACACCGGCACCCGACAAAGGAGGACAAGGAGTTAATGTTAAAATGGCCGCCATGCCAACTGCCCGCGGTCGGATCGTTGTGTTCGTGTCATGGGTTTCTGTTTGTTTGTTACTTTGAGTCATTTCGTTTTTCTTCGGCACTCCCTCGTTCTCCTGCTTTTTTTTTTTTTTTTTTTTTTTTGGTGCTCTACAATCACGCCCTAGAAGACCGTTATAATCTTCTCCATTTACCATTTGCATCTTCTTCTTCAGATCCAAGTTGGAGTTTTTGTACGCCTCCGAGACAGAGTTCAAATAGTAGATGGCGAGTCTGGAGAGGAAAGGAAGACATTTTGGATACTTTTCAGTGACAGGAAAGGCAACCCATTCAAAAGGTGTTTGTATTTTCAGCTTTTTTTTTGTTTTGCTTTCGGGGCCTCTGTACTCACACCATGAGCAAAACAGCTGGGATGATGAGGCCTGGGTTTGCTACGTAGCCAAACAGTGTCCCTATGAAGGCTGGCAGGTCCAGGTCGATGGTCTCAATGATCACGTCGAACATTTTGGCTTTCCCGCTTCAAAAAATAAAATAAAATTAAATAAAAATAAAAAACTCATTATAGACAACAGAAATACACAAGTTCAGAGTCCAAGCTTTTCGGTTCATTTTCCGTTACCTGAAGGGCCCGCAATCAAATGAGGGCGGGAGGGTCATGATGGTGTAGACCACCGGCAACAAACTCAGGAAAAGGATGAGGAGCAGCAGACCCATGTAGAAGTTGTTGGATTTGGAGGCCTTGAAGACTCTCTCATGAGGGACATTGGTCGCCATCACAGCCCAACACTGATAGTACATGGACGTGAGCAGGCGCAGGACGTTGATGCCGACCAGACCGGGAGCATAAAACGCCCCCATCCTAAAACATTCCCACATTCAGTCAGTTCAAGCCATTCAAAAAAAAAAAAAAAAAAAAAAAAAAAAAACAGCCAGCTACATTCTGTCCATGCTGCTGTTTGTTGCGCACAGTATATCAACTCTGCAAAATAGGAGTTTCCCGAGGTCACTCCCAAGGCTGGTTTATATCCTTGTTGGTGTCACTTCTGTAAGCCCAAAATGTTCAGTCCATCGATATCCAATCCTATTCAAATACATTTTGCGAGAGGATCCGAAAAGTTCCTACCAAATCATTCCTTGATTGAAGACAAGTCCCAAAACGTTACCGCTGATGTCAAACTCTCCATATGATGGCTAAAATGAAAAGGGGACTATAATTACGTTAGGGACAAGTCTGGAATGGTTAATACACACTTCTTCCACCAAAATGTGACCGGCGACATTCTAATGCAGCATGTTTGGCAAGATCTTAACTGCTGATTTGACGTGTGTCATATCACAGTTGGTGCACATTAAATACTGAAGAAATTGGTGCCAGAAGTGTCAACGCATATTCCCGAGACGCATTCTTTTTTTAAATAGACTTACAAATCCGGCCTCCAGGTCCCAGCACCAGCAGTAGTTGAGGAAACGCACGATGACGGCTCTGGCAAAGTCACCGATCAGGATGGTCAGGTAGGTGACCTGAATGTCCGACACGGTCAGCTTCACAAACTCCTACAACATAAGCATAAGATCAGCATACTCTTCAAGCAAGCGCGTGGTGGCAATTGGGAAAATCGGGACGTATCCCGAATGACCGGTCCACTCTGGGCAGACATGGCCCAAAACAATTTGATTTATTTATCTTTTTTAAAATATACCCCAACACCTACATGATTTCCAATACAGACAACCATCTTTTATCAAACCACAATTACAGATTCTTCTTCTTGTTATGCCACCAACAAAGCCGAAGAGTATCAAGCCCAAAGTACAGTCTTGATCGAAGCATCTCTTGAACAACACATTTAAGTCTCGTTCACAGTGCATGTCAAATCTTTGCACGTCGTACCGGCGTTCCGAATGAATTCCCCAGTGAAGAAAATATCTGTCCTTACGATGCCAACAGCGGTCTCCCAGCAGGGTCCTCGGATCACATCAGCGGGGTTCATGGGGGGCGGGGTGGCCTCGGTGTCATTAACCAGGCGGGTGTAATTGGCGTAATATTCCTTCAAAGCCAGTATGGTCGCGTTCTTGATGGACTGCTCTTCTTCAAGCTAACGGTCAGGTGGGATAAGTGACGTGAAGTCGCGCCGGAGCGGTTTGAGATGGCGTGCGAGTGCTGAGGACACGTACCTTGGTGTTGACCTCGTCAAAGAGGGCAAAGAGGAACGTGTAGAGGTTTCCCAGCAAAAGAGCGAAGATGCGTCCCAGCTGCCACTTGAGGGCGATCCGAGGATGGTAATCCTCCAGCTCGGCAATGGTTTCGAACAGCGGAGGACACAGAAGGCCAAGTAGAGACATGATGATCTCCAACTGGACAACAAGAAGGAAAAATGTCGCGAAAGCAACAACGGCACAACATTTACCAAACGCTTGTCGCAAACGGTTTGTTTTCAGCGCCATACGTTGGACATGTTTGGACATTACCTCATTTTTCTCATACCAGCTGAGATCGTCCCTATTGGCAAACTCCTGAGACCTCTTCACCACAAAGTAGATGAGGTACCCGCTCCCGCCGAGGCTGCAGGTGATGAGGACGTTAGCGAGGACCCTGAGGAACCTCCTCAGATGAATGTTCTCATCCTTTTGGTTCTCTTGCTCGTCCACAATTGACTCCTGATCTTGCACGGGATGAGCAGAAAACCCGTTACATGTGGCGTTTCTCCGCCGCCTTTCACGTTCGTCACCAAACGGGCGTCCCTATGGTTACCTTGAAGCTGGTGGTGATGGACGCATACTTGTTGTCCGCAGTCTCCGCATTTCCGATGAGGTAATCCCAGCTGGTGAACATCTTCCAGGCAAAGGTGAACTCTCCGTCTTCTCCATCCCCACCGCCGAGGTCTGCATTCTTTGCCATTCTGACCAACATATGTGACTGAGTCGGACGGGTTTGTGAGGGGGAAATGAGACCCGCATATCAAACGGGTCTCCGTACCGCGGTTGGAATCATGTGACGGCAATACCGCATCACAAGTGGTTCCTACGAAACGATGATCAAATCCGACTGCTCATAACTCACGTGCGGATCACGACCATCAAACTGTAGCCAAACGTTCCAATCCCAACCATGAGGTAGGCTAGAGGCAGCCTGAACTTCAGCAAGCCGATGGTCCTCTGGTTGTTGTAATAGCCGTAGAACAGGACTGAATACTTGCAATATCCCTGAGGGAGAAAAATACTTTTATTCCTCTTTCCTTACAGATCTGTCTGTTTTATTGAAAACGAACTGAATTTAAAAAAACAAACCCATAATCAAAACTAACTCACGAAAAAAAAATCAAATTGAAATGAAAAATCCAAACGGATAATAACCGTAAACTGACGTTGCCTGCAGCTCGCTGCAAGTCAGGCAAGAGTACCACTCGCCCCACAATGACTTGATATTAAAACCGATGGCACGTTTTCCCAAATCACTTCTCAAACTTACATTGAAGTCCATGAGGACAGAGTAGTCTTGAGCAGTCGCCTGTTCTGCCCTGGGAACGGTCTTCCTGGGAATGGAGCCGTACGGAAGGCCCATCAAAACCTGAAGTATGAAGAAAGAAAACACATTGGATATGACCTTTGATGTATTTATTTGATTGATTTACCTCGCCAAAGACCGCCAGTTCAACCCGTCTAGGTCATAACAAATGTACCAGATCAATAGAGAAAACATATACCTTAAAAAGGGAGTGGCCCGATGCTTGCCTTATTCCTATTATGGTTACTCAATAAAGGGGTACTCAATAAAAGCAGGTGAAAGAGCTTAAAGTCAAGACTGACACCTCAAAATTAAAGGTAGTGAAAACTTAGACGAGTCATTCTTGGGGGCGAGGGAGAAGGGAAGTATCGACCCTTTAAACAGAGAGTCAGCTAGGACCTTTCTCAATACACGCAAGAGGGATCCGACACTACTCATGGTCGCTGTTCTATACTTCCTGTACAAAAACTGTTATGCTCTTCAAGTTGTGCTTTTCTAAGAATGCTACTTCACCTCAGGAATGACCACCAGTCCGAAAGTGAAACCGAACATGACGAGGTTCATCCCGTACATCCAGCGCAGGAAGATGAAATAAGAAGCCACAGAGGACCCAAAGTGACCTGAGGACATTGAAAGGAGTTCAACATGTGGACACAAGCGGTCACTGCTAAGCTGTTAAGAGAGCAAATAGGGCATGAACCATGACTCACTTTCCACCTCTTTGATCTTCCTCTCCCAGGGAATGCAGGCCGTTTTAAAATTTTCAAAGTCCCTCTGGAACTTAATCCATTTCTTTGAAAAACACATGAAAATAGAAGTGTTATTACGAGGCTTAACACGTGTATGCGCAAACAATAAGGGACGACTGAGATATAAATATATATATAGTTTTTTTTAACTAACCTTTGTCATCATGACTTTGTAGGCGTACCACTTCCTGCCTTTTCCTTTGCCGAGAGCTCCTTCAAATTTATCCACAAAGTCTTGAGCTTCCCTGCGGAGGATGTAAAGTTCGGTTTGCCATTGGGCTTTGCTAACTTGTATGCACAGTGACAACACAATGGGACGGAGGCAAAGAAATAAGTTGAAGTTTCATTTCCTTCTTGTGTGAAGTGGACATTTCCTTCCATTTTCAGCGAAGGACACACGAATGTTCAGTTGATCGAAGGCTCCGAATTCTCAGTCGACGTGAACGTGAGCAAAAATAGTTGTGCGTCTGTGCGTGTTCTGCAATTGGGTGTTGATGAGTGATGGGGAAAATGAAGCTTCAAACTTGCTTCATGAACCAGTTGCATTTGTTTGACTCCTCGAGATGGCACTGTTGGGGATTTATGAAATGGCAAGTCAGTGTGCTTTCAGCCCAATGTTGAACCGAGAGAGCCATCCAGAGGAGTTAAAAAGTACAACTGGTTCATGAAGCAAATTTGAAGCTTTATTTTCCCCATCACTGCTGGTGATCAGTCCTGAGTTTACTCTGCATCTTGGCTCAAGTGAACTAGGAAAGGCCCCAGCTTACTGTGAGGAAGAATGTTATCAAAAAAAAAAAAAAAAAAAAAGGGATAAAAGCATTTACTCAAGAAATGTACACCCGCCTGTTCTGCCCTGGGAACGGTCTTCCTGGGAATGGAGCCGTACGGAAGGCCCATCAAAACCTGAAGTATGAAGAAAGAAAACACATTGGATATGACCTTTGATGTATTTATTTGATTGATTTACCTCGCCAAAGACCGCCAGTTCAACCCGTCTAGGTCATAACAAATGTACCAGATCAATAGAGAAAACATATACCTTAAAAAGGGAGTGGCCCGATGCTTGCCTTATTCCTATTATGGTTACTCAATAAAGGGGTACTCAATAAAAGCAGGTGAAAGAGCTTAAAGTCAAGACTGACACCTCAAAATTAAAGGTAGTGAAAACTTAGACGAGTCATTCTTGGGGGCGAGGGAGAAGGGAAGTATCGACCCTTTAAACAGAGAGTCAGCTAGGACCTTTCTCAATACACGCAAGAGGGATCCGACACTACTCATGGTCGCTGTTCTATACTTCCTGTACAAAAACTGTTATGCTCTTCAAGTTGTGCTTTTCTAAGAATGCTACTTCACCTCAGGAATGACCACCAGTCCGAAAGTGAAACCGAACATGACGAGGTTCATCCCGTACATCCAGCGCAGGAAGATGAAATAAGAAGCCACAGAGGACCCAAAGTGACCTGAGGACATTGAAAGGAGTTCAACATGTGGACACAAGCGGTCACTGCTAAGCTGTTAAGAGAGCAAATAGGGCATGAACCATGACTCACTTTCCACCTCTTTGATCTTCCTCTCCCAGGGAATGCAGGCCGTTTTAAAATTTTCAAAGTCCCTCTGGAACTTAATCCATTTCTTTGAAAAACACATGAAAATAGAAGTGTTATTACGAGGCTTAACACGTGTATGCGCAAACAATAAGGGACGACTGAGATATAAATATATATATAGTTTTTTTTAACTAACCTTTGTCATCATGACTTTGTAGGCGTACCACTTCCTGCCTTTTCCTTTGCCGAGAGCTCCTTCAAATTTATCCACAAAGTCTTGAGCTTCCCTGCGGAGGATGTAAAGTTCGGTTTGCCATTGGGCTTTGCTAACTTGTATGCACAGTGACAACACAATGGGACGGAGGCAAAGAAATAAGTTGAAGTTTCATTTCCTTCTTGTGTGAAGTGGACATTTCCTTCCATTTTCAGCGAAGGACACACGAATGTTCAGTTGATCGAAGGCTCCGAATTCTCAGTCGACGTGAACGTGAGCAAAAATAGTTGTGCGTCTGTGCGTGTTCTGCAATTGGGTGTTGATGAGTGATGGGGAAAATGAAGCTTCAAACTTGCTTCATGAACCAGTTGCATTTGTTTGACTCCTCGAGATGGCACTGTTGGGGATTTATGAAATGGCAAGTCAGTGTGCTTTCAGCCCAATGTTGAACCGAGAGAGCCATCCAGAGGAGTTAAAAAGTACAACTGGTTCATGAAGCAAATTTGAAGCTTTATTTTCCCCATCACTGCTGGTGATCAGTCCTGAGTTTACTCTGCATCTTGGCTCAAGTGAACTAGGAAAGGCCCCAGCTTACTGTGAGGAAGAATGTTATCAAAAAAAAAAAAAAAAAAAAAGGATAGAAGTCTTTACTCAAGTATTGTCATGCCCTCCAGTTGGACCTTACTTCAGGTGTGTGAGTCGCCTCTTCATCCTCCAGGGTTTGTTCCTGATGGTGGATATCAGCTTCTTCTTCTCTTCCACCTCCTCCATCAGCAGGGCCATCTCTCCCTCAGACAAGGATTCCTCATCCTCATCGGAGCTTGAACTGGAGTCGGATGAACTGGGGATGGATGGGCACACAGAGGGTGCAGGTGGTGACTGGTGGAAATACTGAGAGACAAGCATTTATATGAACTCTGGTTTCCTCCCGCGTGTCAACAAACACGTATGTTAGGTGAATTGAAGAAACAAGGGGAAAAAATGGCTATTCGGCCTACCTTTCTTCTTTCTTCTTCTTCTTTTTGTCTTTTCCTTTGGCATCTCCTTTCTTGGCTCCACTGTCCTCCTCCTCCTTTGCACCTTTCTTTCCTCCTCCCTTTTTCCCCTTCTTCCCCTTCTGCTCCTCACTGTCCTCCTCCTCACTGTCCAATGTTTTTCCTCCTTTTTTCTTACTGGCAGCTCCCCCCCGCTTCTTCTTCTTGGGGCCCTCATCTTCACTTTCATCGTCCTCATCATCGTCACCTCCGCGTTTCTTGGTCGGCTTCTTTGCGTTTGCACCTCTTCTTGTCCGAGGAGCCTCAGCCTCCTCTTCATCTTCTTCTTCAACGGCTGTTTTTTTGCCACGGGGTCTCGCCTTTGCGGTGGTTCTTCCAGTGGCTTGCCTCCTGTTGCCTTGCCTGCGGTTGTCACCGTCTACATCGAGGAGTCGGCGAGATGGACGGAGGAGGAAATCAACGGATTTCAGTGTCGTGTACATGATAAATCCAGAGAATACTGTGGCTGACTTACCGTCGCCATCACTGGCATCATCCTCCAGATCAATCTCAACTGCATGACAAACAAATACAACATTCAGACCTTTTAATTATTCCATTGGTGAGGACCAGAACACATGGTGAGGCTGCATTCAGCCATTTTGGTCCCCAGCTCTGGAATAGCCTCACAGAAGACATCAGGTCCGCAGAGCCTGGTGATGTTTTTACGAGGAGGCTTACGGCACATCTTTTTAGCTTGGCTTTTGAATAACTTATTGCTATACTTATTTTAATTCAAGCTTTTATTTTTAATTGCCAGTGTTTTTCACTACTCCATGCTGGGAGATGTGGCGGCGGGCATTCTTGTGGATAAGCTCCGCTTGGGTGCTCTTTTCCGCATATTTTAAAACTTGAGAGTAAGCCGGAGTACCAATAGAAAGCTCACGCAAGCACCTGTAGAATTCTACGCATGAAGCCCCAAGCCAAGACTGGAACAAAGAAGCTCTCGATGGTGAGCCGGATGAGTTAACCACATGACCCATCGTGCCTTATACAATGATTATTAACTATTTATCGGCAGTGCTGTGTGAGAGGAAGTTTGCGGAGACATTTGCACAAGTGTGTGACAATTTTCCTATCTTGCAATATCATCATCATCATCTGGTAGAAGTCCGACATAGACCCAGGGAGGAAAAACATTACCACTTGGCTATTCTGTCTTCAAGTTGAACTAAAGTTGGTTAAACTACTCGTTCATCACATTTCAAAACACACCCAACCCAGCACACCGGGAGAAATATATATCGCAAGGCACTGTAAGGGCAGAAATGTTCATTGATCCATCCACCTCACCTTCATCTGTTGACAAGTCCCTTTTTCTCGGCATGATGAAAAACGAATGACTCTCTGCCTCCTCTGCGGCGGCTTCCTCCCCTCCTCCGTCTCGGCTCTGCGCCAGCAACCAACTCGGGTATCTCACAATGCTGTCGCTATGACGACAGCGGCTTCACATGCGGTGTTCTGAATGTGCGCAATGAAAAAATTTCCGGAGTGATCCAACGCGGCAGAGCAAAAGGCAGATGTCAGTGCTTTTTAAAAGTTGCATTTCTACACCAGGGAGTCGTCGCTTCGGTTTTTAAAAATATCGGCACATAATTCTATCACACGGCTTTATGTTGCAATGTTATCTACCGTTTCTCTATAAAATAAAAAGAAAGGCTTTTAAACCAAAACTAAAAAGGAAACACTTAATATCCTGGACATATGACAAGGTTCCAAATTTCCATTTTATGCTGATGTTATATAAACACACCAGGTTGAGTGTGAAATACTCGATTATGTGACCGGATCAAAAAATATGTCAACACCAGGCTTGCACACAGGCCACAGTTGCAGGGTTCGAGAGAAGTCAATCTTTCAAAATAAAATGGGAAGTGACCTGTCAAACAGAAACAATGTTCAATGGGGTGTGACAATATCTGCTTCAAATGTTGTGATTCTCAGAAGCAAAGATGATAAAAGTGATTATTTTGGCAGGTATAGGGGAGGGACTGTGTGCTCTTTACCACTGCATGACCTTTGTGTGGATGAAAAAGGCCACTCGGCTGGTCGGTGCAGCCGAACATGAGGTTTCATGGTGGAGGTAGCGGCGGAGCCCAGTGTGGAAAGGTGACACACGGCCAGGCCCTGGACGCCCAGTGCAAGAGATCCGATTTCCTCTGACGTGCAGACACAAGGCAGTTAGTTAATGACAGTTAATGAGCATGTGCACAAGCAGTGTAACTGGATGTTGTAACACCTGCACCTGGAGGGGGATCAGTTCATTTATCAATACTATCAATACAGTCACAGCTCAATAACAAACATCACATGCATGTTTGAAGTTTGTACTGTCCGTCTGCTGTAGTGTGACCGAAAGCAGGGGTCCACAACCTCCGTGAATTGAGTTACACCATTTCATGGTTGGAAATATTTGAAATGGATTGTCTTTACTTCAAAAAACTAAAAAATACAAATTAAAAAAAGCATTTGCACATGGGGTACGCAGACTTGATATTCACTGCAGGTAAAACATACTTTCAGTTGCTGAAAACAAAGGGCCCAAAACGCTTGCTGTAATTTTTGTGAACACATTTTATTTACATCATACAATTTACTCTGTATTATTGGAAGATAACACACACGGCAGTATATAAATAAAGATGTTTGTACAAACTTGCATAACTAATAAGGTTAAAAAAAAGGGGGGGTGGGGGGATTAAGCAGCCAGACCCTCCCACCCACAGAAATGATCCATGAAACGCAAACACTAATCATCGCATATACTCAGTCAACAATCATTCACATATTCCATCCATCCATTTTCTAATCCGCTCCTCCCTCACGAGGGTCGCGGCCATTCCCATATTTCACCATATTTATTTTTAAACAACGTATCGTAACACTTGAACACTCCCAACTTTGTGAACATCAACTCACATTAAAACAGCAGAACACATTCAAAAGTGAAGTCAAAACGGAAAATATTAGTGGGACCACACCTGTCAAAGGCAAAACAAATGATTCAAGTTTAGGCTACTCGTCATATGACAAAACACACACGCGCGGTGAGAAACAGTGGGGGAAATGAGAACACAATTAACAGTCGTGTTAGTAAAGTAAAGGACCTAAAGAACACGAGGCTGGCATGCCAACATTCAGACCTTTTCTAAAAATTCACACGGGCACGCGCCGGCAGTTTTGTAGTATTTTGTGAGCAACGTGGATGCGTGGGGTGCAAGGATACAGTGGCACGGACTTGAACACACAGGACGCATCGATCTGACCATCTCAGATGGGTTCCATTCTCAACAAGGGGCCAAAAGTGAGGAAGAAAAGAGAAACGTGTCCAATATTCACTTTGCTACTCATGCCAGCAGAGAGCAAGCATGATTGGGATGGCATCACTAGCCAACAGCGGTAAGTAACCGTCTCCAGCGTCTGATCTTCCCACGCTCTCTCTATGGAGGATCATAACAGCCATCAGGCAACCTTCGAGGCATCTGTATGAAAATCACTTTTTCCATCAAGGAGAACACAGTACAGGAAAGAACCGAAACACCGACCGACCCCACTGTCCCTCTTAACGGTCATCTACCACCTTCTCAGAATTCAAAATTAAATCACACAACGAACGAAAGCTGGAGATATGAATCAACGGAAAGAAAACCAGGATTATTATTAATGGCGAGAGTCGGGGTCCGCCACAGAAGGTTGGGCTCAAGTCCATTTTGTGTAAAGCCAAAAGACCCCAGACATCAAAGTTCTCCTCATATTCTCTGGATCTTGTCGGCGACAACCACCGGGTTCTCTTTGCGAATCTTGGCCGCGGCTTCGGCTTTGTAGTCATACGGACAGTTGTGCTGGTCTGAGTAACGGTGAAAGCCACAGAAGAGGTTCGCGCAGCGGCACTCAAAACCTGAAAGGCCACAACAAGACAGTGTCCGTGTGTTAACCAAATACAGCCTGCGCAGGACGGACAAAATCAGAGTGATCAGATGAGGTCTGAGAAGGTTCTCCGAATGCGGCTAAAGTTTCAGGGCGTCCCAGAACCTCTCTCAGACTTTTGTTGTCGCACGAGGTCAATTCGCAGATGATCTTAGACCAGTTTCTTCCACCGTGTTTGTCTTGCAAAAAATAAAAAAAATAAAAAAAACAAAAAAATCGACTCACCTGTAAGGCCAACCTTTTTGCGACACATAAAACAACGGTTCTTCTTGGGTTTGGGAGGCTCCGGGGCTTGGGACGACTCTTCACTGCCAGCAGTGGAGGGAAGAATGGTTGTCACCGTGGTCTGACTCGCCACTGCAAACGAGCAAGAAAAATATTTAGCTCTCATACTCAAGGATTTCAACGCAATATATCACAAAGGAGTGTATGGCGAGCCAAGAATGTGTTGCAAGCAGCTCACCTTTTCGTTCAAAGCAAGCTTATTTTGTTTGTTATATGTCAGCCTGTTGAAGACCAGTTGAAACCCACTCAAATGTTCTTTTAGAGCAGAGGTGTCCAAACTTTTTCGCCATGGGAGCTACTTATAAACTGACCAAATGATCTCCCTTATTTTTTTATGATGTAACTTTTGGTGTGCCTGGCATATCTGCATGAAGCCAGACGACACTCTTTTTCTTTTTTTTTTTTTTTCACTCTTGATAACTTGCGCTGAATAAAATCAGCCGGGGGTGGAGCCGCTCATAGCGAGCCGCGCGCACACTTCCCAAAGAACATCGGTCGTGTATTTGGACTTCATCCTTTTTTCAATTGTCCGAAAATGCCGCTTTTTGACATTATAGACCACCTCCAATTGTAAACAATCAGTCATGTTTTGGATCCTATTTACTCTTCTAAAACTATGGGGGGACGATATACATGAAAATGTGTTACCCACCAGGGTCTGCGATTTCTACTTTGCTCCCCGATGCACCATTATCCTCTGACGAGAAACTCATTTCAGCCATCTTTTGTGTGATAGAAACGGTTGCTGACATCCCACTGCAAGATACAAACACATCGAGAGATGAGGTGCATGATGTTCATCATCACCACATATTCTATATGTCACATTTATCGAAGGCACCATTAAAAGTGCTGCAATTTCGATCGAAGCCTGTGAAAGTAGCTTTGGTTGCATCGCAGCGGATCTTACCTGAGAGTTTCAGTTGCAGCAGCCTTGGCTGACGCTGCCGCCTCAGCTGCAACCTCGGCTGCAGCCACGGCCGCCGCTGCAGCATTATTCAAGGTGGCCTCTAACCTCTGGATTGCCGAAGCCTCGACTGTGGGGCCACTCGTGCTGCCTGGCGGAGAGGATGCGTGACAAAACAATCACGTGGCGGAACCAAATACGCAGCTCACAACTTGCATTCGTGTACGTCAACGTTAACCGCTTGCTTCGTATAACTCGACAGATGGAGGGAAATGAGGCGGAAACCCGTTGTAATAATCCACGTCATATGGGCATTTAAATGTTTTTAAAAGGCTGACATTGAACAAAAACGACAAATAAGAGAACACGGGCCAGATTTCTAGAGCGACCAAATAGCGGGCACTAAATTGCATGTTCACCCCCTTTAACAACTTCAGGTCCACCCTGGACTGGACATCAGCCAATCACAGGGCACACATATAGACACACATTAATACACACGTCCACACCTAACCACAATTTAGAGTCTCCAATGTTCCTATCAGGTGAGGACAACATGCACCTAAGTGCAAGCGCTTTTGTCCATGCAGGTGGAAACACAAATCAGACACAGTAGGTCTTACCCACAGCACTCAGGGAACTGACTCCTCCATTGTTCTGTCGTGACAGGTGCTCCTTGTGGCAAACAGAGCACATGCCATTAGTCCTAGGGTTGCCATAGAAACCGCAGCCGGTAGCACACAGCATCGGAGCTGGGCTCTGATTGGTCTCCTGGGCCATCGCGATATCTGGTGAAATAACCTGGAGACAAAAAATAATGTATATTGAAACATTGTGTGTGTCTACACTGTACAGTACTCAAAATGTCAATGAAATTGAACACGCCGGAGGAAACTAGGAAGTGGGCACGTGAATTTATGAATGGAGAGTTTGGTTGGAATGAACTTGACTGGTCTGCACAGAGTTCTGAGCACAATCCAATAGAGCGCCTCAGAGGAATTAGAGCCGAGCTTGATTGACCAATTCTTCTCAAGTGACATCATCGTGACCTCACAAATGCACTTCTGAAAATATGCCTCAGAATTCCCACCAACACATTCGTAACATTTGTGGAAAGCTTTCCCAGAAGAGTTGAAGATACTTTTGCTTCAAAATGTGGCCATTTAGTCAGAATAAACACTAGAATTAAGACTGGGATGTCACATCAGTTCATATGCGAGTCAAGTAAGGTGAGCCCGAGAACGGTCCTCCAGAGCCCCTCTCCATCCGGTTTTAGATATCGCCCTCTTCCAACACACCTGACTCAAACGATCGGGCTTCTGAAAGGTTTGGTGATGAGCTGATCGTTTAAATCGGGTGTGTTGGAAGAGGAAAACATGTAAATAATGCAAGATACGTGACTTAGTAACCCGTGATTGAGAGCAAGCCTCGTGTGAGCTGCAATCACGAGCGATCCACACGATTCTGCGGAATCCGTTCGCATCACTAAACGGAACCGTGACATGTGAACAACTTTTTTTTTTTTTTTTTAACAACTAGAACACTAATAATGGCAAAAGCAGCAACATGTACACAACGTATGGATACCGCGCGGATGAACCCAGTGGACACGCACAACACAAAATGGGAATGACATCAACAGCAGCAGACTTAATTAAAACATCGAGACAAAGGCTTACCATCTCACAAATCACGCGTAACCCGAAAACGTTGACAACGCAGCCCGCTAACACCACTGAAAAGCATAATTCAGACTGTCTACCCGGTTATCTTGGACAGCGTTGGAAAATACACAATTTATAACGTTTTCAATCACCAGTCGCCACCTTCCGAACAGGCCACAATCGTGTCACTTGAGCAATTCCACTGAGTCATGCTAGCACGCTAAAGCCTGCCACCAACAGTTACTTTTTCGAAACAGGAAATCACTTTTTAACGTCGTTTTAAGTGGCGCCAACGATACATTGTAAGAATTCATTTTAGCGTGCAAGGCCCAAAACATGTGGTTTAAATATATCTCGACACAACTTTGAGTCTAGTAGCGACTACGCTAACGATAGTTAGCCAAATACACTGCGTGGTGGTGAACTTCTCGTGATTTTGCTAATACAGTATTAGCTGGTGGTTAAGTTGAAAGGAAAGCCCTTGGTTTCTGATTTCTCTGTTGTTTTCATGTCTACTGATACCGGCTACGTCTCATCCAAATATGTAATAAGCAAGTATATCATCCGAAAGTTCAACGAAATCGGAGAAATTTCCAAGCATGTGCTCGTGAAATGTTCAGACATCTTCCTTTCATTCTAACTTGAACAAACGTCGCTAAAGCAAATAAACAGAGTACTGTATGTCGATGAATATATATATATATATATATATACGTTTTCATGTCTACTGATACCGGCTACGTCTCATCCAAATATGTAATAAGCAAGTATATCATCCGAAAGTTCAACGAAATCGGAGAAATTTCCAAGCATGTGCTCGTGAAATGTTCAGACATCTTCCTTTCATTCTAACTTGAACAAACGTCGCTAAAGCAAATAAACAGAGTACTGTATGTCGATGAATATATATATATATATATATATACACAATGAACAATTATGACAAATGTCATACAAGGGACATATGATTTCCCTGTTGTCTTGCATAATGGATTTCAGCGGCAGATATTTCCAGACAAAATACTGTAAGACCAAGAAAAGTCAAATCACACTGAGAGTTGTTGGCCGTGTGTGCTGATTTCCATTGCACTGCTTTTTTTTTTTAAACTGATTTTAGGCTGGACAGTAATACTGTACTCCTTTTTGACATTGCGGTGCATTCATTGTGGATGAATCACATAAAATAATAATGTGGATGCAACCTGGTGCCAAAACTTGCCAAGAGGCTGATAGTACCCGACCACAGACCCGAAAGGAAGGGCAAGGCTGCTTTATTTATTGAGCACATTCTATACACAATGTACAGAAGCCCCTGATTTATTCTGAGCACATATAGTAGTAAAGCCTCCATCAAGAGTTTGCAAGGAAGTTGTTCAATGGTAGCACCTTGAAGTTCATAAAGGTGCTAAAGTTGTCACCAGCACTGTGAACATTGTCACCAAATGTGACTACATTCTGAAGTGTTGATACTGTAGTGTTGGAACGTTCCGGTGGCAGACAGGACATGTAAACACACACACACACACACACACACACACACACACACACACACACACACACACACACACCCACACACACACACAC